CTTGCGTGTTGACTTTTAGCTTGTTGGCTTCTGGCGTGTTGACTTTTTGGCAGGTTGACTTTTTGTTCATTTGACATTTTGTCCTTTGACTTCTTGGGATGTTGACTTTCTGTCTGTCGACTTAATGTCCTTTGACTTTTTATCCGTTTACTTTTAACGTTTTGACTTTTCATCCGGGAATCTTTGGGGGTACCCTAGGTTGATCTCTATTATGGTGTGCCCCCCCCCCCCCCCCCAGTCGGAAAGTAGTTCCCGCGCCCCTGGGCATGTCAGAAAACTGATCGCCGCTTTCTTTGGCCATGTAAATTTATGTAAAAAAATGTAAAATTTAAACATGCAAATAAAATTTCGGCAGCGTAACACGGCCTGTAGAAAGCAGGACGCACTCGTAGCTCTGACGATCCATAAATTTTGCGTCGGCATCTTCAGATTCAACACTACCCCAGCTGCTCGTCCCAGCTTGCACATGCACAGAGCTTCCGCCAGCCCACTTGCACAGAGCCCCCACCCAGCGTAATCTTCCGCCGGGCCTGGGTAGAGCGGCGGAGCGGTCCCTCCTCCACACTCTGCCGAGCAAACGGCCGCGGACGACAGGCCCGATACGCCGATACGGGCACCGCGCGACTGCGCCCTCGGAACCACGGCCAATCGCGGGACGCCGAATCTCAAGGGTGATGACATGATCACTCGACATTTCACACACGGTTGGAGCGCAGCCAAAATAAGCGTGCATGTATTATTGTATTACACCGTTGATCGTAAACCTTGTCTCCCACGACCCCCATTCCTAAACCCCTCGGCGTCCTAGGCTCGGGTGGTTGAATCCTTCCTTGTTCTATGTATAAAAGACATGTGAGTAGTGAGTAGTGAGATCTGAGTTTGCAGGTAGATGAGAGTCAGTGTCCACGTATGTATTTTATTTGGAGTGATTGTGCGTGTGTTGGTGTTGCGTGTGCTGTTGTTTAGGCGGATGTTTGTCGTTTGTCGTGTACTTTCCCAACCATTTTTTTTTTCACTGACAATTGACACGTATAATAGCCACCCTGTTGTGGAGTGTCTGCTGACGTAAATACATAAATGCATACATATCCTATAACGCCCATACCTTATGCCTATAACCTACCCCGATGCACCGAAGTCACATCGCAGATCTTATAACCACGTCTTCGATTTTCTTCGCCATGTTTTGGCCTATAGATAGCTAAGAATACCATACCCAATTATATGTTTACGAGAAGTCGGGAGTCTGATCACAAAAAAAAACTGACTGACATGAAACAAAGGCACCCAACGTGAACGGCCATATCTGTAGATAGTTATACATACCTATTGTAGTCTTGACTATCTGATAAGTCCATGATAGGATACCCTATCGTTAATTAGTGCACTTTCCACTCGTTCGCTCCATTGTGCTTCCGATTCTGACCTTTTGACTGTTAAAAAAGGGCGTATGTTCCCGTCGCGTGTGCTCATCCACCTTGTGAGCGTCTTACTATAACCGCTCGCACACGCTAAGGGGAACGAGACGACAACAGGAGAAATAGGATGTAGTCGACAAAACGGACGGCGGGTGGGAAATGATGACCTTTCCCGTTTCCCGTCCGCCGCCATCGCTGTCACTGTTCGCACTGGTCCTCCTCTCCCGTCATGCCGTCTCCCGCGCCCGTCCCTCGTAAAACTGCCCTCCCCTCTCCCCGCCGCCCTCCTTCCGCTCCGGCCCCCTCCCATCCCCAGGCCGGCCGCGTCCTCCCTCGCTCCCATACAGCTCCACTCGACTCCGTCTCACGTGTCACCATCGCTGCCTGGTGTCATGCCACTAATTTCCCAATAAGTGCATTACATTGTATGCACTGCAGTCATGAGCTACTCCGCGCGGTCCGCCGTCCGGTCCGGCTCGGCGGAAACACGAGCTGCTAGCTGCCGAGCGGGCGGACGCGCTGACTCATATCGTTGCGCCATGTCAATGACGTCATAGGAGACGTACAACGGAGACGGACGGGCGGACGTCATTGACGTCACGCAGCCCTGACACGATGCTCTGATCCGCTTCCGGTCCGGTAGAAAGTAAAGTCGGGGGTCGGGTCATCAAACGACGGGCCGATCTGCTAAGCAGTTGTGCTACTTATAACATCGATGTCGACATACACCCGACACGAGACAGTTTGCGAATTGCAGGACAAAAAAAAAAGAAGAATACACCGGAACTCGGATAGGCCGCAATGAGGTGCGTGTCAACATGTACCCTGGTGTCAACTGTCATGTTTGTTACCCGAGCGGATCAGTCTCTCAGCGGCAAGCTCTGGCAACCGTTTGGCGGGACCAACTCCTAACTTTACATCTACCGCGTGTGAAGCTAAGCAGCGAAATTTACGCCATCGTGCCGCCAATATCTGGAATCGCCGCGACTGTCCATGGTGTTTTTCTCTTTTCCCAAGCATCATACTTTTCCACAGTTCTTCTTTCTTCTTTCTTTCTTCTTCTTTCCGTAGTTCTTAAATGTTTTCTCTCAGTTCTCCCTTGTGACCTACAATCGCTAATTCATCAACAATCGCTATAAAAAAATAGATGTCCGGATAATTTCGTTACACCCTGTATAATATGGTCGTTCATCTCGGCGTGTAGAAATGAGGTGTTTGCTATGAAGTGTGATATGAAGTGTTTCGCTAGTGGCTGTGCTGGCTGCCTACTGCGCCAATGTACGCTCCATTCTTGAGTACGCCAGTGTGGTATGGGGAGGTGCCGCAGAGGTGCACATGACTCGAATAGAGCGTGTACAGCATAAGTTTTTAATATGGTTATCTGGCAGGTGTGGTGTCCAGGGCGTGTCTTTCGAGTACGATGCCCTGCTCAAATACCATCACATGTCACCCCCTCAAGGTGCGGCGTCAGCAGCATGATATTATGTTCATCTGCAATGTTCACCGTAATGCTGTGAATTCATCGTATCTGCTGGAGTGTTTCCCGCTGGCCGTGCCGCATCGCCCCCTGCGAAAAAGGGTTCTCTTCCATGTACCGTACGCACGGGTGAACACAGTGATGAACAGTCCTTTCTGTCGCATGCCAAAGCTCTGCAATGGCTTCTTGGACTGCAACCGTGAGATAGACGTGTGGACGAGCAGCACTGCGTCTTTCAAGTCTCATGTAGTTGCCCATGTTCGTAAGTATAGGTACTGCTATGTTTTGATTTTTTTAAGTGTATTTATCTGTGTGTCGGCATATGTAAGTGTATTTTTAACCTTCGACTTCATCTGTAATTGGGCCTCCTATGCCCGTTGATGATGCTCTCAATAAACTAAACTAAACTAAACTAAACTAGTGTTTTCTGGCACGCGCGCGAGCTCGCGCCTCTCAGGGTGAGCACGGCGCGGACCGAGCGGGCGCGTGGGGCCACTTTACGGTATACATACGAGTGTGTGAGGGCGAGTACAGTGTGTGAGGGCGAGTGCCGAGAGTGAGAGTGTCGTTTTGTGGGCGGATCTGGGGCGTCGCGGCCGTAGCGCCGCCGGCCGGTCGCGGCCGGCGCCGCTCTTACTATGCCGATGTACTGGAATGGGATGTTCTGCGAAATAAATCCTAAATGATAGAAAAAGAGTTGTGGGGGCAGGCGCCCCCTCCCCCCCCCCCCTCAGTTCCCACGCCCATGCACAGACGCATACTTAAAAAAACGCATGCTTTCTTCTTGCATCCACTTTGGTGCTAGCACCTCATAAAATTATGAGCTCATGATTTTATTGAAATTGTTTTTTTGAAATGAAATTGTTTTTATGAGCTCATTTATGAGCTCATAAAAACAATTTCTTTTTATTGAACATAAGGTGTACGTAATAACTGATGTTTTCATAGATACCTACAATCTACATTCTTGAGTTCTACCTTCGCCGGACCTACTGGTTTTCTACATAAGCGCCGGCCGAGGGGGGTGGTAGGTACGTTCCCCCTCGCCGTTTCGCCCCTGATGGAGCTAGACTCTAGAGTGTCGCATAGACACGAGCGTGTTCGCCGCTACGAGACGCAGTGACTGGTACCCGATTTTAGGGTCCCAGGTCAACCGATGACCTCTGAGGTCAGGTCAAGTGACCCAGTGACCCAAGGTGCGGGTTCCGTTTTTCATAAATAACTTCGTAAAAACGGTAGCAAAGCCGCGATTTTGGCATCATCGTGTTCGCATCGCTCAGGCGCATTGGATGGTATACTTTTTGTTCGGGTGAGGTCAACTTCAGGTGTTGGGGTCAACCTCGGGTCAAAGTCAGGTCTTCCCCCCCCCCCATTAGGTCACGAAGCTGGTCGAAAGAGGTAAAAACGCATATCATTTGATTAGACAGGTCTTCCGGAGTCCTCTGAAGGTTTTCCCGACTCCCTAGCTCAATTTGGTCGGGATTTATTGGCAAAAACAAATACTTATTATGACCCAAGTGACGTCATAAATGTCATGCAAGGTTAACAATGCAAAAGTGAAACATCGGACCTTGCAAGGAATGCGAGAAATCACGACCCCGTGTGCTTGAGAGTCTGAGATCGTTCCCGGTGCTTAAATAGCAGTTTTCAGTTTCCCCATTGACTTAAAATGGTGAGGTCACTTGACCAACCTGACCTCAAGGAAAAATCAGAGATTTACAAATTGTGACATCTCTGGAGGATACTTCAACCTGTAAGTTTCATCTTCCTGTGAAAGTTGCTATGACACTGAGGGCGTTGCGAAGTTGCGAAGACATCTGAGGACCGTGCAGAGGATTACTTATGTCATAGATCAGTGACCTGACCTGACCCGAAAATGCGGTTGGTGTCACGAGATACGGCTTGAATCAAAGGTCAAGTATGCCCAGTTTCAGCTCTCTATCGCAGACGGATTCGGAGCTATCGCGAAAAAAAAACTATGGGGGAGGGGTAGGCACCCATCCCCCTCCCCCCTCGGCCGGATAGGGTTAATACTACATTACCTACATTGCGATGAATCGTAAGGATTCTTAAGTATCTACATTGGGCGAATGTGAAATTCGATCTCGTAGCTTCATTTTATTTGCAGGCATAACATATTCGGTGTTAGTAGCTCACAGTCGATCGATTCCATGGCAAAATTAAAACAAGTATCTTACCCATTAAGTTACAATGAACAGCGTAGGGATATCGGCTGCTCATTATTTAATTAACGTGAACCGTGAACAACCACAATTCCACATAAGCTTGAACACCACAATCTACTCTCCCGCCGGACAAAAGTCACGTTATCTATAAAACGCCGATGAGCTCCCAATTTGAAGTCGCGTATGGACTCCACCGATGTGGCTTTTCACAGCACTGTTGGAAAGAGCACTGACCAGGCGAGCGAGAGAGGACCAGGCCCGCGACCATCGCCACGCTCGACGGCAAGACGAGTCCTGAGCTACACGTGGCGACCACGGCACTCGTTCGAATCGGTCGACGCTAGCGCACTGCCGTCGTTAGGGCTGGCACTGCACCAGCCCAGCCGGCGGCCGGCCGTTCCACGAAACGGGGCCGCGAGCGCCGCGTCATCCCTCCCAGAGTCCCACGGCAGACGCCGGACTAGTGGGGGTTCGCTGCCGCCGTCACCGCATTCACTGGCCGTCGCGTTATTCTCGCACACGAAACCTCCGTGAGTGAGGTCTGAGTCAGGCCAGCAACGGGCGATCACTCCCCGACATGAGGCGAGCTCATTCATCGCCAGGAGTCAGAGTCCATCTCAGACGATTCTTCGGGTTGCCTGGCGGCTTCACTAGGCTCCGGAGCAGGCTCCAGGCTCCCCGGGGCAGGCTCGAGGCTCCCCGGAGCAGGCTCCAGGCTCCCCGGGGCAGGCTCCGGGGTTCCCGGGCACTCATCGTCCGTCTGCCGGGCGGCCATCAGCTCGCGAACATGCTCGGCCACGGCACTGCCCAGCTCCTTGAAGTCCTTAATGGGGACCAGCTCCACCTGATTGCCGATCACCGGTTTGTTCTTGAGAATCTCGTTCAGTGTCAGCAGGAAGCGCTCGGCGAAGGCCTCGTAGTCGGCGCAGTCAAAGTTCTCGCAAGACCGGTCTTCGGCAGCCTGGCCGATGGAGCGCAGAGGAGTGGCCGGCTCCATGGCCACGCGGTACATGTGGGCGCCGTCCTTCACCTGGTAGACGTGTACCTGGCCGAACTTGCGGACACCAACCCTGGCAGCCTCGGCCAGTGGCTGGGGGCAGATGGTGAAAAGAGCCGTCAATCATCAATCAACAGTCGTTCACAAGCGCTGACAGATCAAGGGGTCAATGAGGCATCAATCAATCCCTCCCTCCCCAGACACCGCTTTGGCACTTTCAGAGCCAGCTCGAGACTCTCAGGCGTATGCATAATTGTAGCCTCCCAGATGACAATAAAGGGTTATCTGGGTCCCACGTGCGCCCCTCCGAGTCCGATCTGTGGCCCTCAGACCGGCTAGGTCCCTCGGAAACCGCTGAGGGCCGCAAACCTTCGAAGTTCTACGTGCGAGTCCTCAGAAATCGGTCTCGATTAATAATTATCGACTTACATCGTAATGGGTCTTTGGAGGACGATGTGGGCATTCAGAGAGCAGTGTTCGCAATCATAGGGCCTGCGTAGCGTCCTCAGGCCCTAAAAGAGGGGGCACCACAGGCAAAGGGTAGCCTGGGGCCAGACGCCCCATCATTTATTTTGCTAAATAACGTTTGACCCACATCATCTGAGTGGCCAAATTAGTGGTCAGTGCATTCTTTGGATATTTTACTTTTAAGTTCCATCCCCGAAATCCATTCACTTTAATTGCATTAGGTATCAGCTAGAAAGTTTTGTGAAGCAATTGCAAATTAGGCATTTCCCCCACTCCCGGGGCTAAACGCCCCATGACCCAGGACAAAAGACACCATGCTATATATTGAATCAAACATGGCATTTGGCTAAACTTATATGAGAGGCCTCGATATTTGGGGTTTAGCCGCGCGTTTGCAGTCTTTTCGTAGATTCAAGCGTTCACACATGTGATCTGAATAGGTTTTAGGTTGTAGGTAAGGTAAGGCCAGGTTTGGTTAGGTTTGGTTTGATTACAAAGCACCTCTGGGAATAGCACCTCTACTTGGTCGCAAAAAAAAAACAAGCGTGGCGCCTGTTTTATGACTACCCACAGTTTTCTGGTATTACTGGTCTTCTCATAACTGGTAGAATTGGTGGATTGCTGGATTATCTTGAGCAAAACTGACCTATTTACATTTCAGGTTTTCTTTCCCAACATCTATAAATACCTACTGTTTGTTTATTTAATTGTTGATTTAGAGTCAAACGTGATGATAACAATGATTGCACCTGGTCAACAAAATGTCGACAATTGACAATTCGCAATTCCATTGCAATGAATGATGTAAAATCATGTATAGGATTAAGGATAATGGTACCATTGGCTACATCTTGTCGTGAGATCCACACAGATCATAGATCCAGCCCCAAAATTTTGTCAAGAGATCCACTTAGATCATAGATCCAACCCCCCTGTTTTGTCGAGAGATCCACTCAGATCATAGATCCAGCTCCTAAATTTTGTCGAGAGATCCACTTAGATCATAGCTCCAACCCCCTGTTTTGTCGAGAGATCCACTCAGATCATAGATCCGCCTCACGGATCCATGCACATGTCTGGATATGATGTTGTTCCCTAGGTTAGTTTTTTAGCTTAATTCGAATTTAGCAACCATTTGAACATTTACGAAGCAGTTTTCGTGCCTTCGTAACATGTTACGAAGCTGTCAGAGGTGGTTGACACCTGCTAAGAATACCCGGCAGAACTCCTACTGGTTGACCTGACCTGACCTGACCCGACCTGGCCTAAAACATGAAGACATCATCTGTGATCAAAACTAACATAATATGCGTGACCAGCACCCCGAACAACCCCTTCGCAGCCACACTTTACGACGTTCTAGCAGGTCCCGATTTTCCCGACTTTTGGGTCATTGACCTGACCTGGAAGGTCAGCCAATGACCTAGGACCGGGTATCATCATCGGCTTCCTCTCGTCACGGGCAACACGCTCGTTTTTTCCGCGAAGCTCTAGCTCGATCAGGGGTGAAACAGCAAGGGGAGTCCAACGGACTTCCCCCCCCCCCCCCCTATATGTTCGCGGCTGGCAAAACACCGATACCTACTGATACGAGCGAGAGTTAGGTAACCCTAAAAATGGAGGTTAAAAAAAAGGGAATTAGAGTGCAAAATAATTTTCCTTTGGATGTCAGTTCCCACCCAAATCGATAAAATTTGGGATACTGGTTAGAGTCGAGTATATACGTAGTCGAGTATATATCTATATTTCCACGTAAAGCCTGGACATTTCAAGAAATGCCGGATTTCACCTGATGCCTGCGACCACAGACTTCTCCATATATAGAGAAGTCTGTGCTGCGACATATACATACATTACGTAGTCGAGTATATACGTAGCCTAACTAACTCGGGCCGGCTGCGTGAGCACCGCTCATTCAGCGCTAGTCGCCCACCGTCCCATCGGGAAATCCCGGGTTGAGGCGAGGATTTAGAAGCAATTGAGAACGCCTTCATAGTCGGACCTAGCCCCATGTCCGTGAAGTTAGCGTCAGCAACAGCAACGAATACAGCGTCGGATTCAGAATCGCTTAAAAAACTCATGTTATGTCAATTGGGGGACGGGGAGCAAGAATAAGACCTTTATTTGGCCCTAGCTCTTACCCCTTACCCCTTAAGCGGCCCTTAAAGGACGGGGCGCGTCAAAAGTGCCTCAAGGGTTCGTCTGATCGCCAAAATAAGGGTCGCAATCGATTCCTCGGGTCAATATCTAGCCGCAGCCTCGGGTTCCAGATGTGTGCAACTTACCCCTTACCCCTTAATCGGCCCTTAAAGGAAGGGGCGCGTCAAAAGTGCCTCAAGGGTTCGTCTGATCGCCAAAATAAGGGTCGCAATCGATTCCCCGGGTCAATATCTAGCCGCAGCCTCGGGTTCCAGATGTGTGCAACTTACCCCTTACCCCTTAATCGGCCCTTAAAGGACGGGGCGCGTCAAAACGCCCTCAAGGGTTCGTCTGATCGCCAAAATAAGGATAGCAATCGATTCCCCGGGTCAATATCTAGCCGCAGCCTCGGGTTCCAGATGTGTGCAACTTACCCCTTACCCCTTAATCGGCCCTTAAAGGAAGGGGCGCGTCAAAAAAGCCTCAAGGGTTCGTCTGATCGCCAAAATAAGTGTCGCAATCGATTCCCCGGGTCAATATCTAGCCGCAGCCTCGGGTTCCAGATGTGTGCAACTTACCCCTTACCCCTTAATCGGCCCTTAAAGGCCGAGGCGCGTCAAAACGCCCTCAAGGGTTCGTCTGATCGCCAAAATAAGGTTCGCAATCGATTCCCCGGGTCAATATCTAGCCGCAGCCTCGGGTTCCAGATGTGTGCAACTTACCCCTTACCCCTTAATCGGCCCTTAAAGGAAGGGGCAACTTACACATCTGGAACCCGAGGCTGCGGCTAGATATTGACCCGGGGAATCGATTGCGACCCTTATTTTGGCGATCAGACGAACCCTTGAGGCACTTTTGACGCGCCCCTTCCTTTAAGGGTCGATTAAGGGGTAAGGGGTAAGTTGCACACATCTGGAACCCGAGGCTGCGGCTAGATATTGACCCGGGAAATCGATTGCGACCCTTATTTTGGCGATCAGATGAACCCTTGAGGCACTTTTGACGCGCCCCTTCCTTTAAGGGCCGATTAAGGGGTAAGGAGTAAGTTGCACACATCTGGAACCCGAGGCTGCGGCTAGATATTGACCCGAGGAATCGATTGCGACCCTTATTTTGGCGATCAGACGAACCCTTGAGGCACTTTTGACGCGCCCCGTCCTTTAAGGGCCGATTAAGGGGTAAGGGGTAAGTTGCACACATCTGGAACCCGAGGCTACGGCTAGATATTGACCCGGGGAATCGATTGCGACCCTTATTTTGGCGATCAGACGAACCCTTGAGGCACTTTTGACGCGCCCCTTCCTTTAAGGGCCCATTAAGGGGTAAGGGGTAAGTTGCACACATCTGGAACCCGAGGCTACGGCTAGATATTGACCCGGGGAATCGATTGCGACCCTTATTTTGGCGATCAGACGAACTCTTGAGGCACTTTTGACGCGCCCCGTCCTTTAAGGGCCGATTAAGGGGTAAGGGGTAAGTTGCACACATCTGGAACCCGAGGCTGCGGCTAGATATTGACCCGGGGAATCGATTGCGACCCTTATTTTGGCGATCAGACGAACCCTTGAGGCACTTTTGACGCGCCCCGTCCTTTAAGGGCCGATTAAGGGGTAAGGGGTAAGTTGCACACATCTGGAACCCGAGGCTGCGGCTAGATATTGACCCGGGGAATCGATTGCGACCCTTATTTTGGCGATCAGACGAACCCTTGAGGCACTTTTGACGCGCCCCTTTCTTTAAGGGCCGATTAAGGGGTAAGGGGTAAGTTGCACACATCTGGAACCCGAGGCTGCGGCTAGATATTGACCCGAGGAATCGATTGCGACCCTTATTTTGGCGATCAGACGAACCCTTGAGGCACTTTTGACGCGCCCCGTCCTTTAAGGGCCGATTAAGGGGTAAGGGGTAAGTTGCACACATCTGGAACCCGAGGCTGCGGCTAGATATTGACCCGGGGAATCGATTGCGACCCTTATTTTGGCGATCAGAAGAACCCTTGAGGCACTTTTGACGCGCCCCTTCCTTTAAGGGCCGATTAAGGGGTAAGGGGTAAGTTGCACACATCTGGAACCCGAGGCTGCGGCTAGATATTGACCCGGGGAATCGATTGCGACCCTTATTTTGGCGATCAGAAGAACCCTTGAGGCACTTTTGACGCGCCCCTTCCTTTAAGGGCCGATTAAGGGGTAAGGGGTAAGTTGCACACATCTGGAACCCGAGGCTGCGGCTAGATATTGACCCGAGGAATCGATTGCGACCCTTATTTTGGCGATCAGACGAACCCTTGAGGCACTTTTGACGCGCCCCGTCCTTTAAGGGCCGATTAAGGGGTAAGGGGTAAGTTGCACACATCTGGAACCCGAGGCTGCGGCTAGATATTGACCCGGGGAATCGATTGCGACCCTTATTTTGGCGATCAGACGAACCCTTGAGGCACTTTTGACGCGCCCCTTCCTTTAAGGGCCGATTAAGGGGTAAGGGGTAAGTTGCACACATCTGGAACCCGAGGCTGCGGCTAGATATTGACCCGGGGAATCGATTGCGACCCTTATTTTGGCGATCAGACGAACCCTTGAGGCACTTTTGACGCGCCCCGTCCTTTAAGGGCCGATTAAGGGGTAAGGGGTAAGTTGCACACATCTGGAACCCGAGGCTGCGGCTAGATATTGACCCGGGGAATCGATTGCTACCCTTACTTTGGCGATCAGACGAACCCTTGAGGCACTTTTGACGCGCTCCTTCCTTTAAGGGCCGATTAAGGGGTAAGGGGTAAGTTGCACACATCTGGAACCCGAGGCTGCGGCTAGATATTGACCCGGGGAATCGATTGCTACCCTTATTTTGGCGATCAGACGAACCCTTGAGGCACTTTTGACGCGCCCCTTACTTTAAGGGCCGATTAAGGGGTAAGGGGTAAGTTGCACACATCTGGAACCCGAGGCTGCGGCTAGATATTGACCCGGGGAATCGATTGCGACCGTTATTTTGGCGATCAGACGAACCCTTGAGGCACTTTTGACGCGCCCCTTCCTTTAAGGGCCGATTAAAGGGTAAGGGGTAAGTTGCACACATCTGGAACCCGAGGCTGCGGCTAGATATTGACCCGAGGAATCGATTGCGACCCTTATTTTGGCGATCAGACGAACCCTTGAGGCACTTTTGACGCGCCCCGTCCTTTAAGGGCCGCTTAAGGGGTAAGGGGTAAGAGCTAGGGCCAAATAAAGGTCATATTCTTGCTCCCCGTCCCCCAATTGACCTAATATGTGTTTTTTAAGCGATTCTGAATCCGACGCTGTATTCGTTGCTGTTGCTGACGCTAACTTCACGGACATCCTAGCCTGAGCCCCGGTGATTTGTAAGACACGATGTCCGTGCCTGTGCCCCTCTTCCCCTCCACACACACAAACTATTGAGTCGCTTTTACGTCACTGCGTAGTGCGTCGTCTGGAGTCTAGTTTGATACACACCTTTTCCGAATCCCGCTGAACGCCTGGTACATCCGACCACCGGTCATTGAGAAGGGCTTTGTGAGTCATAGGGATGATAATGAACATCTTCTCTCTGCACGCGTTAACACGATCTTCTTCTCTGATGAGATTGTGACAAAGGTAGTCATCCATCCGAGCAGCAAACGGTTTACCACTTTCTCCGAAAATAATTTCCAGATATCCAAGAAAGAAGATCCAGGCAGCACCCTCGCTGAAACTGATCTGTTTTTCGCTAAGCGCGTCCGCCAGCTCTGGTTTGGAGGTGTTGCTGATCTCGAGCGCGGCAGCCAGCGGCACTGAGATGGCTGTCACCGTGAACACCAGCAGCAGCAGCTCCTTCAGCCCGTCCAGGAAGTCCGTCCGCGGGCTTCCGAACAACACCACCAGAGAGGTGACCGCTGCGAAACCGATCAGCAGTAGAGCGGCCCAGTACGTGCAGCCAGCACCCTCGGTGGCGGCTCGCGCCCCGTCGCGGGGTCCCTGGCGCCGCTGCAGATAGGCCGACTGCAGGAGCCGGGCGACGCAGACGGGAGACAAACAGTAGCCCAGCACTAAGATTACAACGTCCGCCACGGTCACGAACTCACTCAGCGCAGCATAAGCCACTCCCACGACCGCCACGACGGCCGTGGGCCAGACTGACAACCACTGATCCATGATTGGAGTCGAGTGCACAGCCCAATCCCGCAACCCGTAGGCACACCCCCGCTCTGTGCTGTCCACTGCACCGGGCCGGTCCGTCACTACTGCGCGCCAGTCGGCCCGCCGGCGGCCGGACGCGCCGGCGAGCCGGCGAGAGCCTCTCAAGGTCACAGGGACGGTGTCAGGCAAAGCTGGGTGGGGCACGAGTCCGGATAGTGCGCCGACCGACCGTCCGCCTCTGTGCAGAGGCATGACTGGGGTCTACATAGCATGGGAGTCTACATGGTCCTCCCCAGTAGACTGCCTGAGTACGCGCCTGCCTTGTCTGCATGTTTATCTACTCCAGCTCGGTCGGCCAGCTACGCTAGCTGCAACAAACGGCGCATGGGTGTCGCACCTCGCAGCTTCGCTTCGCTCCGTGTAAAATCAACTCGGAGCGAAGTCTGAGTGATTTTAGTGGTATACCACTACAATCACTCCCTCAAGCAGACTTGTTCGATTCATTACAAGTGGATTCATACTCGTATGAACTTGTTACACCTTTACATCTTATATCAAGACTGAGAGTCGCCTGTGTTTATCTGCGGTGTATGTCCGTGAAGTTGGCGACGTCGCCAGCGACTTTTCCAGCGACGAGCACCGATTTTAGCCAAAACCTCGTCCAAGGTTAATTGGACCATGAGGATCACGAAAATCGAACCCATTCACCCCTAAACCTTGACCTTCAAGGTAAAATTCAAGGTCAAAGGACGGGGAACTGAAAAAGTGCCACTAAATATTGTCTGATTTTCAAAATTTTGGCATCAAAATGTAGTGCGTGCAAAGTTCTAGCCGCACATCGAAAACCATTTTCATCAAGGTCAAACTTCAAGGTCAAATTCAAGGTCAAAGGACGGGGAACTGAAAAAGTGCCACTAAATATTGTCCGATTTTCAAAATTTTGGCACCAAAATGTAGCGCGTGCAAAGTTCTAGCCGCACATTGAAAACCATTTTCATCAAGGTCAAACTTCAAGGTCAAATTCAAGGTTAAAGGAAGGGGAACTGAAAAAGTGCCACTAAATATTGTCCGATCTTCAAAATTTTGGCACCAAAATGTAGCGCGTGCAAAGTTCTAGCCGCACATCGAAAACCATTTTCATCAAGGTCAAACTTCAAGGTCAAATTCAAGGTCAAAGGACGGGGAACTGAAAAAGTGCCACTAAATATTGTCCGATTTTCAAAATTTTGGCACCAAAATGTAGCGCGTGCAAAGTTCTAGCCGCACATCGAAAACCATTTTCATCAAGGTCAAACTTCAAGGTCAAATTCAAGGTCAAAGGAAGAGGAACTGAAAAAGTGCCACTAAATATTGTCCGATCTTCAAAATTTTGGCACCAAAATGTAGCGCGTGCAAAGTTCTAGCCGCACATCGAAAACCATTTTCATCAAGGTCAAACTTCAAGGTCAAATTCAAGGTCAAAGGACGGGGAACTGAAAAAGTGCCACTAAATATTGTCCGATTTTCAAAATTTTTGCACCAAAATGTAGCGCGTGCAAAGTTCTAGCCGCACATCGAAAACCATTTTCATCAAGGTCAAACTTTAAGGTCAAATTCAAGGTCAAAGGACGGGGAACTGAAAAAGTGCCACTAAATATTGTCCGATTTTCAAAAATTTGGCACCAAAATGTAGCGCGTGCAAAGTTCTAGCCGCACATCGAAAACCATTTTCATCAAAGTCAAACTTCAAGGTCAAACTCAAGGTCAAAGGACGGGGAACTTTAAAAATGCCACTTCACCAGCGACTTTTCCAGCGACGAGCACCGATTTTAGCCAAAACCTCGTCCAAGGTCAATTGGACCATGAGGATCACGAAAATCGAACCCATTTACCCCTAAACCTTGATCTTCAAGGTCAAATTCAAGGTCAAATGACGGGGAACTGAAAAGTGCCACTAAATATTGTCCGATTTTCAAAATTTTGGCACGAAAATGTAGCGCGTGCAAAGTTCTAGCCGCAAATCGAAAACCATTTACATCAAGGTCAAACTTCAAGGTCAAATTCAAGGTCAAAGGACGGGGAACTGAAAAAGTGCCACTAAATATTGTCCGATTTTCAAAATTTTGGCACCAAAATGTAGCACGTGCAAAGTTGTAGCCGCACATCGAAAACCATTTTCATCACGGTCAAACTTCAAGGTCAAATTCAAGGTCAAAGGACGGGGAACTGAAAAAGTGCCACTAAATATTGTCCGATCTTCAAAATTTTGACACCAAAATGTAGCGCGTGCAAAGTTCTAGCCGCACATCGAAAACCATTTTCATCAAGGTCAAACTTCAAGGTCAAATTCAAGGTCAAAGGACGGGGAACTGAAAAAGTGCCACTAAATATTGTCCGATCTTCAAAATTTTGGCACCAAAATGTAGCCCGTGCAAAGTTCTAGCCGCACATCGAAAACCATTTTCATCAAGGTCAAACTTCAAGGTCAAATTCAACGTCAAAAGACGGGGAACTGAAAAAGTGCCACTAAATATTGTCCGATTTCCAAAATTTTGGCACCAAAATGTAGCGCGTGAAAAGTTCTAGCCGCACATCAAAAACCATTTTCATCAAAGTCAAACTTCAAGGTCAAACTCAAGGTCAAAGGACGGGGAACTTTAAAAATGCCACTTCACCAGCGACTTTTCCAGCGACGAGCACCGATTTTAGCCAAAACCTCGTCCAAGGTCAATTGGACCATGAGGATCACGAAAATCGAACCCATTTACCCCTAAACCTTGATCTTCAAGGTCAAATTCAAGGTCAAATGACGGGGAACTGAAAAAGTGCCACTAAATATTGTCCGATTTTCAAAATTTTGGCACCAAAATGTAGCGCGTGCAAAGTTCTAGCCGCACACCGAAAACCATTTACATCAAGGTCAAACTTCAAGGTCAAATTCAAGGTCAAAGGACGGGGAACTGAAAAAGTGCCACTAAATATTGTCCGATCTTCAAAACTTTGGCACCAAAATGTAGCGCGTGCAAAGTTCTAGCCGCACATCGAAATCAATTTTCATCAAGGTCAAACTTCAAGGTCAAATTCAAGGTCAAAGGACGGCGAACTGAAAAAGTGCCACTAAATATTGTCCGATCTTCAAAATTTTGGCACCAAAATGTAGCGCGTGCAAAGTTCTAGCCGCACATCGAAAACCATTTGCATCAAGGTCAAACTTGAAGGTCAAATTCAAGGTCAAAGGACGGGGAACTGAAAAAGTGCCACTAAATATTGTCCGATTTTCAAAATTTTGGCACCAAAATGTAGCGCGTGCAAAGTTGTAGCCGCACATCGAAAACCATTTTCATCAAGGTCAAACTTCAAGGTCAAATTCAAGGTCAAAAGACGGGGAACTGAAAAAGTGCCACTAAATATTGTCCGATCTTCAAAATTTTGGCACCAAAATGTAGCGCGTGCAAAGTTCTAGCCGCACATCGAAAACAATTTTCATCAAGGTCAAACTTCAAGGTCAAATTCAACGTCAAAAGACGGGGAACTGAAAAAGTGCCACTAAATATTGTCCGATTTCCAAAATTTTGGCACCAAAATGTAGCGCGTGCAAAGTTCTAGCCGCACATCGAAAACCATTTTCATCAAAGTCAAACTTCAAGGTCAAAGGACGGGGAACTTTAAAAATGCCACTTCACCAGCGACTTTTCCAGCGACGAGCACCGATTTTAGCCAAAACCTCGTCCAAGGTCAATTGGACCATGAGGATCACGAAAATCGAACCCATTTACCCCTAAACCTTGATCTTCAAGGTCAAATTCAAGGTCAAATGACGGGGAACTGAAAAAGTGCCACTAAATATTGTCCGATTTTCAAAATTTTGGCACGAAAATGTAGCGCGTGCAAAGTTCTAGCCGCAAATCGAAAACCATTTACATCAAGGTCAAACTTCAAGGTCAAATTCAAGGTCAAAGGACGGGGAACTGAAAAAGTGCCACTAAATATTGTCCGATCTTCAAAATTTTGGCACCAAAATGTAGCGCGTGCAAAGTTCTAGCCGCACATCGAAAACCATTTTCATCAAGGTCAAACTTCAAGGTCAAATTCAAGGTCAAAGGACGGCGAACTGAAAAAGTGCCACTAAATATTGTCCGATCTTCAAAATTTTGGCACCAAAATGTAGCGCATGCAAAGTTCTAGCCGCACATCGAAAACCATTTGCATCAAGGTCAAACTTGAAGGTCAAATTCAAGGTCAAAGGACGGGGAACTGAAAAAGTGCCACTAAATATTGTCCGATTTTCAAAATTTTGGCACCAAAATGTAGCGCGTGCAAAGTTGTAGCCGCACATCGAAAACCATTTTCATCAAGGTCAAACTTCAAGGTCAAATTCAAGGTCAAAGGACGGGGAACTGAAAAAGTGCCACTAAATATTGTCCGATCTTCAAAATTTTGGCACCAAAATGTAGCGCGTGCAAAGTTGTAGCCGCATATCGAAAACCATTTTCATCAAGGTCAAACTTCAAGGTCAAATTCAAGGTCAAAGGACGGGGAACTGAAAAAGTGCCACTAAATATTGTCCGATTTTCAAAATTTTGGCACCAAAATGTAGCGCGTGCAAAGTTCTAGCCGCACATCGAAAACCATTTCCATCAAGGTCAAACTTCAAGGTCAAATTCAAGGTCAAAGGACGGGGAACTGAAAAAGTGCCACTAAATATTGTCCGATCTTCAAAATTTTGGCACCAAAATGTAGCGCGTGCAAAGTTCTAGCCGCACATCGAAAACCATTTTCATCAAGGTCAAACTTCAAGGTCAAATTCAAGGTCAAAGGACGGGGAACTGTAAAAGTGCCACTTAATATTGTCCGATTTTCAAAATTTTGGCACCAAAATGTAGCGCTTGCAAAGTTCTAGCCGCACATCGAAAACCATTTTCATCAAGGTCAAACTTCAAGGTCAAATTCAAGGTCAAAGGACGGGGAACTGAAAAAGTGCCACTAAATATTGTCCGATTTCCAAAATTTTGGCACCAAAATGTAGCGCGTGCAAAGTTCTAGCCGCACATCGAAAACCATTTTCATCAAAGTCAAACTTCAAGGTCAAACTCAAGGTCAAAGGACGGGGAACTTTAAAAATGCCACTTCACCAGCGACTTTTCCAGCGACGAGCACCGATTTTAGCCAAAACCTCGTCCAAGGTCAATTGGACCATGAGGATCACGAAAATCGAACCCATTTACCCCAAAACCTTGATCTTTAAGGTCAAATTCAAGGTCAAATGACGGGGAACTGAAAAAGTGCCACTAAATATTGTCCGATTTTCAAAATTTGGCACCAAAATGTAGCGCGTGCAAAGTTCTAGCCGCATATCGAAAACCATTTACATCAAGGTCAAACTTCAAGGTCAAATTCAAGGTCAAAGGACGGGGAACTGAAAAAGTGCCACTAAATATTGTCTGATCTTCAAAATTTTGGCACCAAAATGTAGCGCGTGCAAAGTTGTAGCCGCACATCGAAAACCATTTTCATCAAGGTCAAACTTCAAGGTCAAATTCAAGGTCAAAGGACGGGGAACTGAAAAAGTGCCACTAAATATTGTCCGATTTTCAAATTTTTGGC